TGATATGAGGATGAATTCGTTTTTTCCTTATTTCATCTTTTTATCATCTAATATCTTTTACTTTAATAAAAAAAAGCAAAATAAACCATGAGTAGAGATTTGTTTGGTTGAGTGAGAATGAATTCGTTTTTTTTATGTAATCTTTCTATCATTTAATATCTTTTACTTTGAAAAAAAAATAAACTACGATCAGGGGTTTGCGTTTGGTTGATATCAGGATGGATTGTTTTTTTTTATTTCATCTTTTTATCATCTAATATCTTTTACTTCAAAAAAAATTAAATAAAATAAATCACGAGCAGAGGATTGTTTGGTTGATGTGAGGATGAATTCGTTTTTTTTATTTTATCTTTTTATCATCTAATGTCTTTTATTTCGAAAAAAACAAAATAAACCACGAGCAGGGAGGTTGCTTGGTTGATGTGAGGATGAATTCAAAAAAACCAGAACGCAAAACAATGAGCCACGCAGCTATTTCAATAATTCAGTGTCACTGCTATTTTGTTTAAATTGCTAGCTAACTATGAAAAACACAGTATCAAAGCTTTTAAATAGACAAAGTTTTCTTTAAATAGCAACGTTTCATTAAAAAGTATCTCTTTTGAGAATTTTAAATAGCCAAAGCTTTCTTTAAATAGCGAAATGTTTAATTAAAAAGTATCTCTTTTGAGAAGCTACGATTATTAAAACTTATTTTAATCAACCGATACTACTATTAAGAGAGAAATTTATTATTAAAAGTGTTTAAAAAAAGTTTGTAAAATTTGCTTAATTCTCATTATGTTTTTATCTTTATCATGGACAAAAAAAACTCTAAACCTATCTTAATGTTTGGCTTCATAATCATACAAATGATGAGAAGAGAGTGTGGGTGTTAATAAAGAGAACACTGATATCTACACATCCATATTCACACTCTTAATATAGGTAATAGATTGACTATCGAAGAAGTGGTTGAACATGAATTTATTAGTAAACTTTTAGCATTTTCATTGAAACCATGGATACATGTAGAGCGATCAAACTTATTTTCATTTTTCTATTCATGTTAGTAGAGAGAATGGAAAAGATGAATAGTTATACTTAGATATTAAAGATAACTTTTCAATTATATATTTCATTAGATTTCATCTTATATCGTATTCAACTAATACCTTTGTTAATAGGGTACTATATTTTTAAAAAATACAACAAACACACATTTTATAGTAGAATCACTTTTATCCTTATATCTTTACATTTAGTTTAAATCGTTCCTCTTCGAGAAAAATTTGATTTTCATGAAAAACACTAAGATTAAGATAAATACATAGAAAGACAGTTTGAAATCTTCTCTGTTGAAAAGGACATGACATTTTATTTGAAACTTGGTTTTTCTTCCTAAAATTTCCCTCATTTGCTGCTTTGCACATCCCAGAATTTGTGAGGAAACTTCATTATAGCCTATAGCTTTTTAATTTGAAAGAGTATTTCAAAAATACAAGGAATTATATACAGTGCATTCTGACATACTCTTTGGAACATAATTCAATATCTTTCAAAAGCATTATTGTATAATGCGGGAAATTTTACTAGAGTCGCTTTAACTACGTAACTTTGCCTCTTATTTGATTATATACATATGTATTTTTCCACTATTGCGAAAAAATTTCAATTCTGTTCATTTTCATGATGAGGAAAAAAATAGAATAAAATTCCGCTTATTATCATATAAAACTTGCAACGATTAAGAAATACTAAATCATTAAGTAAAAACTAGTATATGGAGAATATAAAGTGTTCAACTTAAAGTTGCTTTCCGTCTGTGTAAGATATAGTGCATTAGAATAGAAATTTTGTAAAGTGTAAGTCTATGGATCGAGGCAGATTGAAGTGAACAACAAAAACGCAAGAAAAAACAAAGATTAAGAATTCTACAATTGTCTCCATCAGTAAGTGACAAAACATGAGAATACAGATTCATAATGGCGACGTCATATTTATCTCCTAGAGAAGAAGAAGAATGCTAATATGTGAATATATAGAAATGCTTAGAAGCTTGTCGTTTACATTAGTAGACAAGTGTATGAGATAATAAATTATTGAATTTTCGTTTTTTTTTCTTGGTCTCTTAAAATCAAACGGTTTTTTTTTGTGACGTAAGTATTAAATAATAAATGAGAATATGACATAAGAAATTGTAATGCTTTTTTTTGAATCTCATTAGATGACAGTACATCATATTAAAAAAGAAATTATTGTTATCTTTGTTTTTTTTTCGTGTTCGTCGATATGTTAGTACATGAGAAGGATATTATTATTTTGTAAGAAATGTAACTTTTGATTGTAGCAATAGATTGTAGCTACATGTGAATATTCATCTTGACTTAGAAAGTTTTCGTTTTTGTTTTGAATCATTGATTGACTGACAGTATAACAAAAAAAAAGACAAAAGAACATGAATTTGTAAATTTTAAATATTGTTCATGAGCGCATAATAGTATAGATGGAGAATATGTATTTTTAGATGCTATTTTTACTGCGAATGAATGAGAGTTGTTGAGAGTAATAGGGCATAAATGCAGTGTGTGTGTGTAGTTTCTTTTTTTTTCTAAGTACACAATGTATAATCATCCATGAGATTAAAATTGTTTTTTTTAATTATGATTTATCTTTAATAATGACTCTCATTATATGAGAATAGATAGTTGTTAAGATTATAGTTTCTTTTTTTTCCTTCTTCTTCTTGGCGTAAAGCGCAATTTCTAATTGATATAGAATGAGACAAATGAGGACATTGTAATGTTTTTGTTTTTGTTTTGTTGTTGCATAGTATAACATCATTAAAGTTGATATAATTTTGCATAGAATAATTTTGTTTGATTGTCTCTGGGCGTGAGTAGATTTGCAGTGCAGTCGATAATAAAATGAATATGCTTTAATTGTTTATTTTTTTGTTTGGCGAAGTAGTAATAGTACATGAGATAGAAAAAAAAATTGCACATTTTGTATTATTTCAAAAATAAAGATATATATATATATATATATATATTGTTTTTTAGTAAGATAGATTATCATTGAAAAGATTTAGTGTGTGTGTATCTAGAAAGGAATGAATTTAGTAGAAATTTTTGAAATAAGATGTAAGTATGTATTAGAGATATTGTCTGAATTAATCGATCATATACTTTTGTTTCTTAAAAGAAAAAAAAAGGAAGAATAATATTTGAGTAGAACTCTAGATCAGGATAATATGGTATGTTTTGTTTTACTTTTTTGTTCAACTGTTTATCATGATATTTATTTTTTGTGATTAGATAAGAAAAAAGATGAGTGTACGTATGTTTAACAAAAAAAAAGAAAAGAGTAAAGACAACACAATTATTCTCTGTCGAAGAATGAATGACTACTTAGTATATGAATAAATTTGTTTTTGTTTCGAAGAGAAAAAAAAGCAAGAAGTAATATATTGATTAGTATTGTTGTCATTGAAATGAGTAAAATTTCCAGTAATGTAAAATGTTTGAAGGTAAGTTGATTTTTGTCAAAAGCTTGTTTTTCTTTTTGTAAATTTTTGTTTTCTTGTTTTTCGAAGAATTGATTCATTGAAGTATGACGAAAGTAATAAAGACAATAGAAAAAAAAACAAATTTGTTTTTCTTTTCAACATTATATAATTTTCTATATATATATATATATATATGACAAATGAAAGAAAGAAAGAAGGAAAGAAAGAAAATGAAATAAATAATTTGCTTGTTCGTTTTCATAGAAAAATTCTTTTTTTGAGAAAGAAAAACCATGTGAATAAAGAAGAAATATCTTATTATGAGAATAATATTAAAGGCTAGTCGAACTATGAAAATATATGGTAGATACAGCAAAAAAAAAGAAAAAAATTCAAATAAATTTTTCATTAGTTTTTTTTGTACTCTCTCGTTGTACTTTTTCTCTTTTAATTTATCCTTTCATTTCTCTCTGTCCATGTTTCAGTTCATCCATTACGTGCAAGCTCCATTGATATTCATCCAAATGCTCGATGGCAACAGAATGGTCTCACTGTCGCTGGAGGAAATGGGGATGGCAATGGAATCAATCAACTCTACTACCCATGTGGTTTATATGTGGATGATGATCAAACAATTTATGTTGCTGATCTATCGAATCATCGTATTGTAGAATGGAAAAGGGGTGCAACGAATGGACAAGTGGTTGCAGGTGGAAATGGACAAGGAAGTGGAACTCATCAATTGTTTCAACCATTAGATGTGATTGTCGACAAAGAGAATGATAGTCTCATCATCTGCGACTATTCGAATAGGAGAGTGGTTCGATGGCCTCGTCGAAATGGGACAAGTGGAGAAACAATCATTTCCAACATCAATTGTTGGGGTTTGACAATGGACGAGAATGGATCTCTGTATATCGTTGACTATGGAAAACATGAAGTGAGACGATATGGAAGAGGAGAATCTCAAGGAACAGTTGTTGCAGGTGGCAATGGAAGTGGAAATCGTCTCGATCAACTCTATGGCCCACGGTACGTATTCGTCGATCGAAATAATTCAGTATATGTGTCTGATTTGGGAAATGATCGTGTGATGAAATGGGTGGAAGGTGCAAAACAAGGCATTGTCGTGGCTGGTGGTCAAGGAAAAGGAAATGGTCTGACACTATTGTGTGATCCTCAAGGAGTCGTTGTCGATGAATTGGGCACTGTCTATGTGTCTGATTCAGGGAATAATCGAATCATGCGTTGGACGAAAGGAGCTACACAAGGAAGTGTTATTGTGGGTGGAAATGGAAGAGGAGGACAATCGAATCAACTGCATGGGCCCATCGGTTTGTCATTCGATCGACACGGCAATCTTTATGTCGTCGATAACGGAAATCATCGAGCACAAAAATTCAACATCGAATCCAATAAGTAAAGGACAACTTTAGAAAAAATTTCTTGTACACTGTGTTTTTTTAAAAGTTTAAAATAAATATCACTGATCAATACTATGAAGCGATACCAACCCAGGAGCCCGTTACGCCGCCATTTTTCAAGGATTCCGAAACCTTGGAATCCTTGAAAAAATCAACATTTCCAATTCATTAAAAATGAATGAAAATCATTGCAAAACTTTGTATTTCAATGTTCCTGAAATAGCCTGACGTTGTAAAACACCTGAAGAAACGTAGAGTAACAGAAAATCCTTGAAATCCTCACTATTCTACGACTTTCAGAAATCTGAAAACCTAGAATTCAAGACTGAAGTAAGGATTTCAAGGATTCCATGGCTTGAAACGTTGTGTAGCCTTCAGAATAGTGAAGTCCATGGTGGCGTTTATCAGAATGAAGGAATTACTAAACATTCAGCAATCTAAATCCTTGAAACTGTTGAAATCCTGAGGATGTCTTTGTCGATCTCTAGGTATGTCAAACGTTAGTAAAGATTCCTACGATTCCATCACTGGAAATGTTGTGTACCCTTCAAAAAGATGAAAGCCATGGTGGTATGTATCAGATTCAAAGAATTCCAGGACATCCAACGCTGGGAATCCTTGAAATCCTAGAAATCTTAAAGACTTTCATGCCGATTCCTAGGCATGCGAAACCTAAGCAAGTATTCCAAGGATTCCATGATTTGAAACCTTGTCTAGCTTTCAGAATGGTGAAGACCATGATCGCGTCTATCAAATTCAAAGAATTCTTAGAAATTCAACAATGGAAATCGTTGAATTTCTCCAGGCTCGTATGAACATACTGATTCGTGTAAGCGCAAGGCAAGAATTGCAAGGATTTCGTAACTTGAAATGCTGTGTAGTTCTCATAATGGAAAAATTCACGAGGGTGTCTATTAGATTTAAAGAATTATGAGACATTTAGCATTTAAAGACCTTGAAATCGTGGAAATCCAAGACACTTCTATACAGTTCACTAGTATTGGAGACTTGAGCGAGGAGTGCAGGTGTTCTATGAGATGAAAATGTTTTCTAAGGTCGCTGACATAATCATGGTATGGCGATTTCTATGAGAATCCAAAGTTTTCGAGATATCGAACTCATCGAAAACTAGGGTGAGTGTGGGTGTTGATCAGGAGAAGACTTACATACACAGTTACACACATCAACACCCACACCTATACCTATTCACATCCAAGACTGGTTCCATCTTTGGGTGTTGGATAATCAATGGAATCTTTGCAATTGTTTGATCTTTTAGCTTTGACGGTATTTTCGACTTTTGGAAATTTCATGGATGGCTTTGAATTTTTCGATGTTTTAACTTATTCTTGAAACTCACAGCTTGCATGTGATGTTTGGTATTCTCCTATGGATAAAGCCTTGAACTTTTTGGATGTTTTATGTCTTCCATGATGTTGCATTGCGTCAGATGGATTCTATATCTTTAAGTTAGTGAATTTCATAGATTTCTATACGTAGTTAATGATCTAATGCATTGGAAAGCTTGGAGTCTTTTGAGTAGTTACTTTTCTCATTATGCTTGAGACTTTTGAAGGTCAAGTTAGTTTGAAATGATGCAATTTCTTCATTTTCTCTTTACTCTTGGTTTCCCAAAATATGTGGAATGATCGGAAATTATTTCATTCCTCTACTATATGATCATATGAAACGATTCAATATACCTTGAAACGCTTGTGGTTATTGGGATTCTTTCACAGGTCTTTGGAGATATCATTCATGAAAGTTTATGACTTCTTTGAATACTCTAACATTTTTCAGTTATGCAAGAAGCCATACATATTTTAATAGTGTGGAATGTTTGCGCTGATTTCTTTTCTTGCCTGTCATTGATGAGTTCTAATCCTTGAAGTTCTCTGTTTTCTTATATTTTCTTAGGATCTTTGCATAAGTGATTTGACTGAAATATTGGAATTCCTTCGAATTGCTAGATCTCCAATTATTTCTTTCATGTTCGAATTGTCTGAATTGACATCTTTTCTTACACTAATTCATGTAATCATCGTCGTTGACACCTTTCAGTTGTTGGGACAATCGCTATTGATGGATTTTGTGATTTCAAGGAAGAATGGATAATATACTTGTTAATGTGTAGTATATGTGTGGATGGGAGTGTGGGCGAGGGCATGTATGTTGGTGCAGTTCGCTATGCATTTCGAGTTCTATGATTATTCGTTAATGTTAACATTGCGATATCAATAACTTCATGTGCTTGTTAACATATCTGATGATACACAGTCAATGCCTCTAATAACAACACTAAAAAAATTTTCTTCCGTATTCGACTCGGTTCT